TGTGTGTGTGTGTGTGTGTGTGTGTGTGTATATATACACACACACACACTTTTTCTGTTTGTATCATTAAAAAAACTACAAAGACTGGCAACCGAGCCTTCATTTCTGCTGTAGAAAACTTCAGTCTTTTTCTGTTTCTCCTCTTAGCAGACAGGTTAGAAAAGAACCAGGCTGCTTCTCAATTTCTGTGTTGCCAGGCTTCTGCGTTCAACCTCTGGTGCGTGGAGGATGCCTGCGGAATCAAAGCTGCAGGAAGTCAACCTGACACATGCTAACCATTAGTTCTGATCAAACACTGTGGTAAAACTGGACTTACTCCAGAAATGCAACTCATGCTCTCGTCCTCTCTCACACAGTGGATTATTATCATCTCCCATTAACCATCCCTGCTGCTGGCCTCCGGGATGGGGCCTACTGTCCTAATGCCAGTGATTACTCCTGAAGTGCAGCCATTAACTATGCAGCTTTCCTTCATGAAGACGGGAACTTGTTGTGAGCCCAGTGTTTACAGGATGGTGTGTGGGTAGACATTAATGATTGTTGGATAAATGCTTCAGTAGATGGGAAATTGAAGCAAATACTTTAAATCCTTCCTAGACCTTAGGCTCTTCTATGTCTTATGGAGGGACATTTGTCCTTCTATAATAATTGCTTCTAAGCATTAATTCTGCCAAGCGTAGTGACTCATAGTTATAGTTCTAGCTGACTAGCAGAAGATTTTACAGAAACCAGCTGGCCCTGTCACATGGCCTTATATTCTCTGTGGGAATGCCAGGGAAAAGCTGACCCTTGACTGGAACAGAAAACTGCACTCCCCAAGTTCTCACGAATACCTCGCTCTTGTGTGCCAGGCTTTCTACACTCACTCCTTCTCTTCCCCCTACTCCGTCTTCATTAGAGAACTTCCCCCAGTGCGTGCTGGAGATCTCTGATCAAGAGGTGCTGGAGTGGTACACGGCCAAAGACTTCATTGTCGGAAAGACACTCACCATCCTTGGGAGAACTTTCTTCATCTACGACTGTGACCCGTTCACTCGCCAGTACTACAAAGAGAAATTTGGAATCATAGATTTACCACGTATTGACGTGAGCAAGAAAGAACCACCCCCTGTGAAGCAGGTAATGGTGGGAAAAAATGCTTTTAGGTAGAAATGAAAGGACAAGATAAAAGGAATTCCTGTGTATACCCAGTAAAAAGCAGGCCAAGCATAGGTAAACAGAGTGGTTCACAAGAGCGGATGGGAATAGCCTGCCGGCATGGGAGGGGCCCTCTGCCCACTGACAGCCAAGGAATAGAATGACGACGCAGTGTCTTCATCTGTTCCCGACATCCAGTGCTTTCCCTGTGTGAAGAAACAGAAACTCTCATATGACCTGTGAACAAGGGTAAAATCATAAAGGCAATAATAAGCGATATGTTATTTTTCTGGTTATATTTGGGTATATAGAAATATTTGAATAAGTGTTTTCTAGGTTTTTTTAAAGAATTCATTTGAATACAAACAGCATCTGCTTCACCTCTTGCTTCCTGTATTTTTTTTTAAGGAATTGCCTCCATATAATGGCTACGGGCTAGTTGAAGATTCCATTCAGAATTGCTTTGCTCTCATTCCGAAGCCTCCCAGAAAAGACATTGTTAAAATGCTGATAAATGACAACAAAGTGCTCCGCTACCTGGCTGCCCTGGTGAGACCCACTTCTCCTGTCAGCATTCGCTCCGGGCCTCCCCTAGATCTGCACCTGGCCCTCAATTGTCCATTCCTCACCCTAGATCTGGCCCCAGCCATCAAAAGAGTTAGGTAGCAGCTATCCCGTAAGCTAAACTTAGATTCCAATGCCCATGTGTGGGATGGACTGGTTGTGAAGTGGGGCAGGCCTGGGGCTGCTGCTGTGCTTTGGACACCCTTGCCTGCTGTAGATCCAGCCTTGTGTGTTTCTGACATCCTAGTAAGAGCGGACCCTGCACAACCTGCATAGCACAGTTCACACTGTGAGAACAGCGGTACCAAAGATAACGAGAGATCACGTCATCTCCGCATTTCACCGCTTATTTGAGTGCGTCCTTAGGAAACTGAATATAACAGAAACCCAGGACATGTTTTGGAAACTCTGAGTTTGTACATGAGCACTGTTTTATGAGCTCGATAAGTTATTACAAAATAGAAAAATAGTTTATTTTCATCATGCGGTATTTCAGTGAGGAACAACGTGTCTGCAACGAGGCTTAGCACTTCGCTCTGCCAGGCCCGTGATTCACTCCAGGTTTCTTTATAAGATCGCTTTTGAGGGGCTGGGAAGGTGGCTCCGTGGTAGAGCGCTTGCCTTGCATGCCTGAGGTCCTGGGTTCCATTCCTCAGCACCACATAAGCAAAAACAAAAAAGCCGGAAGTGGTGCTGTGGGTCAAGTGGTAGAGCGCTAGCCTTGAGCTGAAGAGCTGAGGGACAGCGCCCAGGCCCAGAGTTCAGTCCCCATGACCAGACCCAAAAAAAAAATCGCTTTTGAGAATAACTTTCAAATTTGAGATTTTACATTTCTCATTCCTTCTGCCTTAAATCTTATTTTTAAATTGTGTATATGAATGGGTTTGTTTTTTAAAAACAAGCCCTTGCCTAAAGTCCATGAAGGAGAATATGGGGTCAACTGAATGGTATTCAACTGTGCCTGGGCAGAGCGCACCCCGGAAGTGCCTCATGTGCCAGGACCGCACATTGCCTTCTCAGGGTTGAACTCAATGTTTTTAAAGTCCAAAAACAGACCTCTGTCTGAGAGAAGAGGAGAGAACCGGACGATGTAACATGTTGGCCTACATTCCCACAAGGAACCACAGTGGAGCTGATTTGAGTTAGGGCAGTTCTTAGAGGGGAGGCTTGCCTCACAGGGCTTCACAGGGCCCGTCCCTCCGGGCCCCCGCGGGTCCCCAGCCGTGCTGGTTTGTGTCAGACGGCCCAGCTTGCCATCACATCTGTTGGTTACCTGCCCCCTGGACAGGTCATGTGCAGACCAGACCTTCATGCGCTTTTTCCTTCACCCTTTTAGGAATCCCCCATTGCAGAAGACAAAGAGCGCCGGTTCATCTTCTCTTATTTTCTGGCCACTGATATGATTAGTATCTTTGAGCCTCCTGTTCGAAATTCTGGTATCATTGGGGGCAAGTACCTTGGCAGGACTCGAATTATTAAGCCCAACTCTACTGCGGACAGCCCCGTTTACTACAGCCCTAGTGACTTCTACATCGGGGCGGTCATCGATGGTAAGTCTCAGCACAGCCGAATGCCCCTGGCTGAGCAGTCATCGTTCGTTAGATTGCATCACAGTTGAGATAGAGCTAATAGGCTTACGTACTTGGATTAGTATCTGAATTGCCTTCCTTATCAATGAAACTCTGAAATGTTGGCACTGATTTGGTTGCCTTTGTTAGAGGCTGACACGAACTTTCTTGAGAGAAAAAAACATAATAATTTGTGTAACTTGAGAACATTCTGTGGTGTATCATTGTAAGGTTGATAGCATTTTACTTCTGACTGCATGAGAGAAACATCATTAAACTAAGGGTGCTGCTCCCCTCTCCCGAGTGTTTGGGCACCGGTTCACCATCCTGGACACAGACGAGTATGTGCTGAAGTACATGGAGAGCAACGCCGCCCAGTACACCCAGGAAGCCCTGGCGTCCATCCAGAGCCACACACAGAAGCAGGAGGCCTCCGCACCCGTCGTGGAAAAGTAGGTTGGACTGCCTTAAGGTCCTTTTTGACTCTGAGATGTGCAAGATATTTAGGAAGGCATGCTTAGCAATCACACGTGGATTACCACATTTTCCACTTCCGGTTTCCCTCCCCACGTACGCAGTGTCCCCTGGGCTCAGCGTGCTGAGCAGTGGTGTAGAGTCTAGCCAGCAGTGATCGACTGTCAAGTAGTCACAGCCCTCCGTGAGTTCCCTTCAGCAGCGGGCGGTAGTCAGGACACACAGAAGCAAACAGGACAGCCTGTGGGGTGACCCCTGCCCTGGCGGTGGAGCCCAGTTGGGTGCCCAGGGATTCTGGAGGGCGGCAATGGGTTGTGAAGCTCACACTTGAAGGGCAAGGAGGCACAAATGAGAATGGTGAAGGCAAATGCCCTGGGCCATGGTAAACCAGCCTAGAGCACCCACATTGGCAAGGAGAGACAGGTGAGGGTGACAGATGGAAGGGAGGAACGGGACCGTGAAGGTTTCCCCACAAGGACTAACAAGGGCCAGGTCCTACAGGACCCGCCACGTCCCGGGAAAGAATGAAACAGATCTGCTGAGTTTCTGAGCAGAGGTGTGGCAAGATCTGGCATGCGTTCATAGGGCTTGCTGGCTGGTGGGTTGAAGTGGACCAGGAGGAGAATACTGCAGGAGAGGGTAGGTGCCAGGGATGCTGGGTGGGCTGGGAGATGGGGAAGTGGGCTGTTTTGCATCGTGCATGTATTTTCATACCAGACACTGAGATGAGATGAGTCATCTTAGTGCCGGGTGCCAGTGGCTCACGCCTGCAATCCTAGCTACTCAGGAGGCTGACATCTGAGGATTGTGGTTCAAAGCCAGCCGGGGCAGGAACATCCGTGAGACTCTTATCTCCAATTAACCACCAGAAAACCAGAAGTGGTCCTGTGGCTCAAGTGGTAGAGTACTAGCTTTGAGCTGAATTGCTGCGGGATAGCGCCCAGACCCCAGGGTTCAAGCCCCATAACTGACAAAAACAAAAACAAAAAACCACCATGCCCAGTCATTTCTTTCCTTGCTCTACAGTGAGCAAGCTAGAGCGGAATTCAGCCCACAAGAAATGGAAGCATTAATAGAAACACTCCAGAAGCAACTGAAAGACCACCCAGGCAAAGACAGCATCTACGAAGAGTTTCACAAGCATGACACGCAGCGCACAGGGTGTGTGGACAAAGAGCTGTTCTTCAAGATCTGCAAGTCTTTGGACATCCCGGTAGATGACTACTTGGTCAAAGAGGTCAGTGAGCGCTGCTCGCGGGGCTGACAGCGGAGGCTGGGCCGTCGCCTTTCACATCTCCTGGCGCACCCCGCGGTGCCGTGCCCCTTGGTTCTAGCAAGGCCAGGCCTCTCTGTCACAGCAGGGCATCTCTTCAAGCAGGCTGGGACTGGGCAGCATAGCGTGGTTGATAGGCTGGCACGCTGGGGCTGCCCAGGAGGGACCCTCGTTAAGTTGATGGCCGGCAGCCTTTGGTGCCCTTTGCAGCTGACACCTACCTTAGCCCGTCGGGAGGGCCAGCAAGGAAGAGCTTCTGCCCATTGCAAATGGGGAGAAGGCACGATAGATTTTCTTCTAGAGTTTTCTTGAGGGAGTTAAGGAGGGCCATGCCTTTCCTTGACGGTAATCCGCACTGGCCAGGATTGCCTTGGAAGCTAGAACAAAGCCTCCCAGTCGAGGCCCAATGAGGGCAGCGGGGGTTCTGCGGAGCTCTTCAGGAGGGAGGCCATGCGAGCGCAGCCCCTTGGCCTGGCAGCAGGCCTCACTGCTTGTCTTCAGGCCGTGGGAGGGGACGGCAGCCAGTGGGAAATGAGACAAGGACCCGCCGTGGGCAAGGCAGGTCTGCAGCTCGCAGACTGTAACCACAGCTGATGACTGCTGCGGTCACCCAGCTAGATTCTATTAGGCTATGATAACGGAAGCCTGTTATTTAAGTCTTATTTTTCGGTAGACAACTCTTGTATTTGAGTATCAAGACAATGATAGTGCTTAGAAAAATGGCCATGCCCCATACATATGGCTGTTAGTCCTAGGATCTTGGGCAGGCCACGTACTCTGCCCAGCTTTGGTTCCGCTAGGGGACGGGGGAAAGGTCTGCCATCCAAACTTCCAGGAGCTTTGGGACGTAGAAGGTGAAGTTGGGGATGGTGGCACACAAGGTTGCTCTGTAGTTGAGCTGAAGTAAAGCCACAGAATGGTATGGCCTTGGCTCTCATTCCTTCCACAGTTAATCAAGATGTGCTCTCACGGAGACAGCAAGATTGACTACTGCAGCTTCATTCGTATTTTCTCAAATTGATGGGCTGGTGACGTACAGGCTTGCAACACTGACCTTCACTTGAAGCCCACCCTGCTTCCAAAGGCATTTGCAGTGCTCTGGTTACATAAACGTATTTTTTGCTCTAATGCTCACTGTCCTGAAGTCTACATTAACTTGCTTTCTGTAGGACCTAAGTTTGTACCTTACTTGCGGTGGTGGGTGTGTTTTGATGACTGATTTTATATCACCTTGATTGTGCCATGGGGTGGGCAGGTTTCATGGATGAGAGTGACATTTGAACCGGTCAGACGAAGTAAAGCACACTGGCCTTCTTGGAGTAGGTGAGCTCCACCCAATCATTTGAAGGCTGAATGGGGGGGCGGGGAAGCTGACCCTCCCCAGAATAAGAGAGCATCTTTTGGCCTGACTGCCTTCACACGGACACATGGCTTTTCCCTGCCTCCATACCTGAACTAGACACTAGTCCTTCCTGGCCCACCACGAGCTCTCACTGAACCAACATTCTACTTACCCTTCAAGATCCAAGTGCTGGTAGCCCACTGTGAGTTGCCAGTCGCCAAAGGCTGGCAAGGCTCTCCGACTGGCTGTCCACTCCTCCCTCCCCCTGCGCCACCTTCCACACTGAGACGGGACAGCACCCTCACAGGCTTGAGGTGCCCGGTGGACCGCGGCCGCTCCTGGGCAGTGCCCACTCTGCTCCACCTGTTACTTCACACAAATCACGTTCCTGGCATAACCCTACACGCAGCCCTTCAGCGTCACCCGCCCCGGTGGCTGGCCTGCACAGGCAGGGGGTGCACGCGGTGCCACCAGGACCACGCTCTGCGAGAAGAAATGCCCATCCTCTCAAAACAGCCTCTAGGGACGTGAAGCAGTGTCATCTGCGCACACAGCGGAGGCCCCACGGTAGCCACAGCCACGGCGCCCCTCTGAGGTTGCGTCCAAGGCTGATAGGAGGCAGGTGGCTTAGGGGCTAATAACATCTGCCTGCTAACCACTTCTCAGCCCTGCCTGGACCCAGCGTGCAGCACCGCTAGAGGGCCTCGTGATTGGCGCGTGGGTCCTATAAGCTTTAAGGGTACAGGGGACCAACAGGTGAAGATGTCACTATGTGCACGCCTCTAGAGAATTGCGGGCCCGTGGTTCTTGAACACCAGCTGCACACAGGCATGCTCACTTAAGAACCAACTCACTGACCGCGTCACCTGGACCAGGATCCTAGCCGCTGACTCTCCACTCACCATCCCTGAGAAACAGGCTGACGGTTTGCAGCTAGCGGTCACCCGGCAGAGCCCCGGCAGAGCACGACTCCAGCCCAAGCCCACACCAGAGCCTGCCATCTGCCAGGACCACTCACTGCCGATTCCCAGCTGGGGGTGACTGCCACCTGTAACTTACTCCTCTCCTGTGCCATCGGACAAGCTGCCACTGGGTCGCCGCTGGCCAGCTCCAAGACATCAGCAATGCCCTCTGCCGCCCTTGTTACTAATTCTTGGACATCTTCCCGTCAGCACACACCACACCCCTGGGGCCTTGCACGCACAGCCCCTTCTGCAAGCTAAATGGCATCACACGCTAGCAGCCATCAAACAGGAGGGCTTCCTCCCGAACTGCCCTGCGCAGGCCCCACGAGCAAGGTCCTCTTCCCGCTTTACTGTCAGGTCAAGATCACTCTCCATCCTTCCGTCCAGTTCCCCGATTCACATCGCTAGCATGGACAACTGTGTGTCAAGAAATTTTAGAAATGAAGTTGGGTGCAGGTGGCTCACACCTGGGCAAACAGCCAGAAGCAGAGCTATGACTCAAGTGAGAATGTGAAGCTGTGAGTTCAAGCACCAGTACAGGGGAGGAGAGCGGGGAGGGGAGAGAGGGGAGGGGGAGAGGGGAGAAAAATAAATGACTAGTGAAAAATTTTAGTAAGAGAACATGAAGTATGCAAACTAAAATACATCATATAAAAGCATGTCAAGGAATTATATCAGAGACAGTTAAGATGGATAATTCTATGCCTTTTATTCAGGTATTTGAGAAAATATTTGATCATTTTTTTCAAAATGTACATTTAAAAAAATCCATACAAAACTGTAATTTGTTTTTAAAACCAGACAGAAAGTGGGAAAAGGACTTTGAAAAAAGATCACAGAAAGTAAAAAGACACCCCTCCCCCAAACCCTTTTACACGAAAGCATAAATACGGCAGGTACAAATTTTCCTTGAGTTCCTTGTTAAAATTTGGTCCATAACAAGAACAGGCTAAAGTACAAAACAATTTGTGTACATTTGCATTATGAGTTGCTCAGGGCACCGGCAGCCTCCGCCCAGTTTAAACAGAGGATCTGAACAGAGAGGTTTAGTTCCAGCACTCCACTGGTGTGACCAGCCCCGGGGTGGCACTCCCACAGCCCGTCCTGTTGAGGGACAGGAAAACCTCCTCCTCTCCCAGGGATGGTGTCGCACAGACATCACGACCAGGCTCACTCCTAGACACCACCCGACAGCCCATCTGTGGATGGTTCTCCTCTTTTCCAACTGATTTTAAAACAATAACAAAACACAAAACATAAGACTTCTAAGATTCTACATGCTTTACAAGAGGGCCACAGAACCAGCCAGGGTCAGGATAATGGCGGCAACCAAGGGAAGGGGCTGGCGTGTGTGTAAGGTGACAACTCCCCCCCCCCCGTCCCCTCCCCCACTGCAGGGCCCCGCAGGTGACAGACAGGCCCGTGGGAAAGACCACTGGCCGGAGGATTATTGCACAGCCCGGGAGGCCGGGGTGAGAGGAGCTGCTGCTCACACAAGGTGACCCTGGCTTGGGAGATGTGGCCATCCACCGCGGCCCAGGCCCTCTGTCACACAGGCCGCTCGCTCACACAGGGACTAAGAAGTAGAGCACATGCCTTGTTGAACAGGAGGCAGAATGGATGGGAAGAGGCTAGCACAGGGTGCCTTCCACATGGAGTTCAGGATGTAGGGTGGGGAAGGGAGAGGCCGGAAGAGGCTGGGAGCATGTGCACTGGGTACCCTTGAGGCACAGGTGTCTGCGGGCGAGCCGTCTCACAGGCTTCCCTAACCACCCGCCAGGCAAGAAGAGAGCATGAGAAACAGAAGGAAGGGAGCAGCCGCTGCGCCCCGGCTGTGCGCGCATGGGAGGGGCGTCAGGACACGAGGTGGAGTTGTCCATCTGTGTCCCTTTCCTATTCACTGAAGGGTGGCAGCCTGCCACACAGCACAAGGGAAGACCGCGGCCGCAGAAGGCACTTGTTACACCAAAAGAACCAGGCGCGCCGAGCACAGGACGCCGGCCCGCCGTGCAGGGCCCCGCCAGGCGCGATGCTGCTGTCCACAGCAGCACTGGCCAAGGGACCCAGAGAGGGGAGCAGGGCAGGGCCGGCCCAGCCCTCCTGCAGATACGACACAGCCACCTGGGACACCGGGACCCTTCGAAGGGGAGGAAGCTGCGTCCCGACTCCCCTCCCCCTGCCCACCCAGGCCCGGGCGGAAAGAGAACAAACCCAGGCCCAGCCAGCGCAGCTGGAGCTATGTTCTGCACTTCCTGGAGGCCAGGCACCTGGCCTCCGCCATTTTCTCATCTGCCACTTGGAAAGGCCCAGGGGGACTGAGAATGAAGAGCCCAAAGGAAGCCAGAAGCGCACCCCGCACGCCCCTACGCCGGGTGCCAGGCCCAGTGTCCCAGGACGTCAGGAGAAGCGTGGGACAGTGGCCAGAGTGAGCACAGGTATCACTTGGCTCCCAGCTGTGCAAATTCGGCCGGGAACAGGAGGCCAGGTTCTCAGCAACCACTGTGGACTGGTGGCCAGGGACACGTGCTGGGCTAGGACCCCTCCCTGCTCTGCCTGCTCCCCCAGAACTGCCCCTTCCTTAGCTTATTTACAGCACAGCTATCAGAGCCCGGAGGGTAAAAACCTTCCCATCACTCACTCTCTAGAGCACAGGCAGCAGTGACCCCCCTCCACCCATTAACAGGGCCTCCTCCCACCCCCCCTCTCTGCTGGCATCCGCACCCAGGTGCACCACCCGGGGCGCAGAGGGGCAGGGGCTGCTGAGGTAGATTAGTGTCATCTGCTCTGGGCCCATGGTGCCAAGCCAGCCAGGCTCTCACACTCGAGAGTGAGCGGCTGGTCCTGGCACAGGGCTTGGCACTGTGTGGAGATGGGAGACTGCACGACGATGAGGGGTCAAAGCACCGGGGCTAGCATGAGGCCACCCGCCATGCTGCAAAGGTCCCTAGAAGCAGCTGCTGCCCACCTCCAGCACAGCCGGCTACGAGATGCAGCGCAGGCGCGGCGGGTGGCCCCCGGGCTGTGGAGATTCCAGCCTTACTCCTGGTCTTGGGCTTTTCTCTTTTAACAAGATCTTACTAACTCCCAGCACCCGTCACTGGGTCCCCGACACCCATCCAAGCCAGAACCAGCCGTCAGCAGTGGAAAGCCAACGGGAGACTCAACAAACACGCAGCCACATCCTGGAGGGCACCAAGGGACCGGGACAGAGCAAGACACACCTACACAGGGACCATGCCACGGGATCCCAGACACCAGCCCCCGTGAGACCCCAGGGGAGAGGCCCCCTGCACCCAGGTTACCTGGGGAGGAAGGGGGGCGTGGGACCGAGGTGGCTGGAGGGCACGAGCCCTCCACGAGCCCTGGGCAGGGCAAGGAGCGAGCACAATTCAGCCTCTATCAGGATGAAACAGCTACGGGGTGTGTGTGTGTGTGTGTCCAGGTCAGCTCTGCTGTGCCCTCCCGGGGGAAGGAGAGGGAGGGAAGCGAGGGAGGGAGGGAAACACACATGCTCAGCCCTGCAGTCCACTTCCCTCTCGCCAACTCTGCACGCTTTCTCCTAATAAAGCAGAGATTCCACAGTGGTGTGTGAACACACGCCCTACGCTGGGGGAAATTGCCCTGGAGAAAAAAGCATTGCTCTCTTGTGGGTCAAGTCCCAAGGTCTGGGCACTACTATGACGTCAGAAACAGAACAAGGTACCGGCGACATGAACACACCTGCGCAACCAGGAAGGCTGCTGTCACCTCAGCACGGCGAGTTCTTCCACGCCCTCCCCCTTCCGGAAGCCCTCACTGGCTGCAGAGGGCCTGGCATCCCTGCCTCCAGGTGGAGGGGAGAGGAAGGCACACTGGGGGAGGGGCCTCCGGACTCGCGTGGACCACCACGTCTGCTCTTCCAAGCAGGAGACACACAGTCACCTGCTGTCAGACGGAGATGTGTAAAAAACACCCGAAGAGAGAGGTCCAAGGGCAGGTGCGGGTGACCCTCCCTGGGATGCTTGGGGACAGGCGAGGGGCTGATCCTGTGAGGCTTCATGTTTCTGCAGCATCGAGAGATGAAGACAAGGTAGCAAGCTGGCTGTGGGCAGGGCTGGCTGGGTGGACTTGAAAACAGCGAGTGGCGGGTAGGCCTGGGCTCTGGTGAGCGGCTGGCGGGGGCGCGGGCTCTGGTGGGCTCTGGTGAGCGGCTGGCGGGGGCGCGGGCTCTGGTGAGCTCTGGTGAGCGGCTGGCGGGGGCGCGGGCTCTGGTGAGCGGCTGGCGGGCTCTGGTGAGCGGCTGGCGGGGGCGCGGGCTCTGGTGAGCTCTGGTGAGGGCTGGCGGGGGCGCGGGCTCTGGTGAGCTCTGGTGAGCGGCTGGCGGGGGCGCGGGCTCTGGTGAGCGGCTGGCGGGGGCGCGGGCTCTGGTGGGCGGCTGATGCAGGAGCAACCGGCATGGCTGAGGACAAGCCCAGCCTGGCTCCTGCAGCACCCCAGAGCATCATCTTTCTGGACCAGCCTACTGCTCAGCACTTTGCTCTTGCGCTAGACGTGGGAAGACGTGTCCTCTGAGCGCGGGAGGCTGGTTTCGGGGTGCTGCTCTGTGAGCTGTGGGGAGTCGCGGGACCAGCAGGGTTAACACTGTCCTTTCTCGGCCGAGCTGCCGTGTCCAGGCATGCCCGAGGGTGGAGGCTGTGCCTCGGGGCGCCAGGCAGAGAACCGGAATCATGCATCTCATCAGTCTATCAGCACCAAGAAGACGATGATCCAAGAGGGCCGGCCTCTGCTGCTCCTGCCGTCGCACGAGGACGTGCCCGGGGAAGGTACCCGGCCGAGGTGAGGCGCGGTGTGCCGCGGCACCTCAGTGCGGGCTGCAGAGCGACAGACCCGCGATCGACGGCCAGGACCGCAGTCTCGGCGCCCGTCCATCGTAAGAATCACACAGAGAAAAACTGCACGTGCGAATGAGGAGGAAAAGCAGCAGCCGTGGAGGAAGCGGAAGAAGAGGACAGAGAAAGATTCCATGGGAAATCCAGGCTGCCAGGAGAAAACCCACACAGGACAGAGGCAAGGCAGAGGTGGCCCGACTGAGCAAGAGAGGGAGATTTTTGGCTTTATTGAGAACGGTTTATAGAAGAAGAAAAAGAAGAGAAAGCTGAGGAGTGAGAGAGAAGCCCCTGTCTGAAGACAGGAGTTCTGCCGGTGGAGGTGGGGCGGGTGGGGCGGGGCAGTGGCCACCCCTCGCTCCCGAGACCCACACCCAGAGGATTCCTGGTCGCAGCACTTTGGCCTTAGGGAGACTTGAGTTTCTTAGTCCGTGGGGAAGTTCCATTCTCTGCCTTCACGACTCCATTTTCATGGTAACCTGGGGAGTGGAGAGACACACACACACGTGGCGTTTCTGCAGGGACCAGGCGAGACCAAGGAGGCCGCGCGTGCGCCGGCACCCCGGGGTGGGGGCGCCAGGCTCCCCTGCCCTCCCGGGGTCTTGGGCACGTGGCCCCTCTGAGGTGCTGTTCTCTGTTCTTTCAGAGGGGTGTCTGGGGAGCCCAGGAACAGGCTGGGACCTCCCGGGTGCCATCTCAGTCCGCGCTTCCCGCCGGGTTCTGGAGGGGCACCGGTGTGCGCAGCAAATCCCAGGATTGGGGGTTGGAGGGCGGGAGGCTGTGGGACCACACGTGTGTCCTGGGATACAATCACGGCGGAAGCACCTCCTCACGTGTCCCCACGCCACCTCCGCCCCTCCCCTCCTCCCCCACCGCCATCACAGCCTCCGACACATGCGCCCTGGCCGAGCAGCGCGTCCTGGCCAAGCAGCGCGGGCTGAAGGCGGGAGAGTCAGGGAGAGGGGTCGCCGCGGGAGGAAGTGGGGGTCCCACGCCCGCTCTCGCCCCTCCCCAGGCTGTCACCGAGCAGCTCCACCAGGGCAGGGAGGGCAGGTGAGGACGCGGCTACTCTGCAGCCTGGCTGTGGGTGGTGGCTGTGGCAGGACTTGGCTGGGCACCAGAAGCCACCGGGAGGGCAGGCTGGCTGCCAGAGGTCCCCACCCATCACGACCCCGCCCCGCAGTGGCCAGGCCCTGCCCACCCTTGACTCTGGCTCAGGCCCAGCCACGCGTCAAGGCAGGAGTGTCAAGGCAGGAGCCCGGGGCGGGCGGGGCGGGCAGGCGGAGAGGAGCAGTCAGGAAGGGAGGAGGAGCCGCAGGATGCAGGAGGGGCCGAGGCCCTCGGACTGGCCTGGATCTTGCCCACCCTTCCCGACAGGCCTCGGCCGCGCCTCCCTGCTGCAGGCCCTGGCACTCACCAGGTTCCCTCTTGAGCAGCCTGGCTGGCAGCCTGGTGGCCGCTGGAACCCTCCCCTGGCACTCACCAGGTTCCCTCCTGAGCAGCCTGGCTGGCAGCCTGGCGGCCGCTGGAACCCTCCGCTTGGCATTCTGCTGGTCCCAGTGTTCCCGCCAGTGCCGCAGCTGGGAGTGGATGAACCGCCACATGAGCCAGGCCTGGGCAGCACACACCAACAGCAGCACACACAGCCTGCGGGGGCACAGGGGGCTCGTGGCGGGGCTCCCGCGGCACCGCCCAGCAGGGAGCGCGTCCTGCGTTGCTGGGGCCAGCACGCCACGCCTGAGCGGGCGCCAGGGGAGGAGGCAGTGGCCGCTGCACGGCCCCAGTGCTCCCCAGCCCGGGAATGCAGCGTCCCCTCCACAGCACAGCCGGGGTGAGGCCAACGCGCCCCCAAGTATTAGGGCAATTCAAAAGAAGTGAAGGACGATCTCGCTGACACCACTGAGCGAGTGGCTGTCATCTAGTATTCCACTTGAAGCAGAGCAACCCTAGATGAACCCCACACCCTCTGCTCCCTGCACTCAGGGAAACATGTGGCTCCTTTGCTTGCCTTTTTTTTTTTTTTTTGGCCAGTGGTGGAGCTTGAACTCTGGGCCTGGGCGCTGTCCCTCAGCTCTTCAGCTCAAGGCAAGTGCTCTACCACTTGAGCCACAGTGTTACTTCTGGCTTTTTCTGTGTATGTGGTGCTGAGGAATCGAACCCACGGCCTCACGCATGCGAGGCAAGCACTGTACCACTGAGCCACCTTCCCAGCCCTTTTGTTAGTTTTCTTTATGGCAGGGTAGGCCACTGGCCTCGCTGTAGAGGACAGTTTTGAGAGTCCCCATGTGGCTGTCAGGATCAAGTGCAAGACTGGATAAGCCATGCTCACACACGATGACATACGCCACACAAAGGCAGTGGCTGCCCGGCACTGGGACTGAGATTCCCGCTGCCATCTGGCGAGCCAGGAGTGCAGGGTTTGGCAGGAACAGCAGGCTGGTCCCCCCGCTTCTCACCACACACCCACAGCTCTCTAGCTAAGGAACGAAGCGTGGGGGGCTCACGGGGCTGGCTGCCTCCTGACCCTCATGGAAGGTAGGCCAAGTTCAAGGGGGCTGGCAGTGCTCAGAGCCATGGACCATCCCCCACACCCCGCCCCACGTCTGCTTGACCCACCTGCAGAGCAAGGTGTTGAAGTTCCCCTTCTCAGGGTCAAATGCCTGGTTTTCCACACGGGCCAGTCCAAAGCCGATGGCCAGCACGGCGAGGGTGAGGATGCAGAGGCGCGTGATGCCGAACACAGCAGCCCAGGCGCTGAACCTGTGAGCAGGGGCAGAGACGGGCGAGGCCTGCAGGGCTCCTGAAGGAACGTCCACCCTTCTCCAGACCCACCCTGAGAGGAGAGAGGACCGGCCAGGCCCCGGGAGGCTGCTCCAGGGCGATCTAGAAGAAGATAGTAACTTCTGCCCCCAGCAGACAAGTGAGCAGTTGACACTCCAGCCGGGCCTCCACCGGCCAGGCCAGGCCTGGGGGAGGTCAGGGGCCTGCCCCCTCCACCGGCCAGGCCTGGGGGAGGTCAGGAGCCTCCCCCACATCCTCCACAGCCCCACTTACAGCTTCTCGTTGTTCTCATCTGCGAAGTAGAAGAGTCGAGCCATGTGGAAGAGGAACTCGGTGGAGTACTGCAGGAGCAGCAGCAGCAGGCCCAGGCGGCTCAGGCTGGGGAGGAGAGTCAGCCTTAGCTTCTCCACTGCTCCATGCGGCCTGTCTCGTCACTAGACCTGGCTGTCTGCCTTTAGGACACCTCCCCGGCTGTTCACAGGGCCTGTCTGGTCGGGTGTCTGTGCCTGCCTGCCCCCTCAGCGAGCCTCGCTCGGGCAGTGCCTTCGCACACCACACCACGCTACCAGAACCAAGGACGGACAAGGTGCCCCGGAGCTTTACATCTGCCAGAAGGTGTGTCTTGGGCTGAGGTCAGCAGCCTTCCCAGGGCTTGGGTCCGTTTCTCATCTCAATGCTTATCACAGTAAACCGTCTTCCTTACTGGTGTCCCTCTTCCTTACTGGTGTCCCTCTTCCTTACTGGTGTCCCTCTTGGCATTCTCAATTCTTCCCGTGCACAGAGATGGTCTATTAAGTGCCTGCCGCCGCTAGGCAAGTAGCAGCACAGACAGATGCATGGCGCACACAGGCAAAGAGCCTGAGCAGTGACGGGTCTCACTCACTTCAAGAGGTACGCTCCGGCTATGTGCACCAGGTACAGACAGATGGACTGGAGCTGCCGGGGAATTTCCTCCTGAGGACAAGATGGAAGACAATGAGTGGGCCTATCCCCAGCTGGGGATGCGGGCTGTGCCCCTCCACCCCCGTTGGGGCTGGGCACGGGAGTGCCAGGCGGCAGCAGCACTGGGTGTCGGGGGGCAGCGTGTGGGGCTGGGGAAGAAGACTCTGGAAGCGACTCAGAAGGAAAGTGCTTGTAAAAGACAGAGAGGTGAGACGGTGGGAACCAGCAGAGCCACAGGCCGTGGCGGGAGGCGAGAGATGGACTCTCACGCCAAGGCTCACGAGCGTGTACGCGGCGCGTCTGCAGGCCGACTCCAGACCTGGGCACGAGCTCGAGGGCCAGAGGAAGGGGAGGGAACGGCAGGGGAGGTGGGAGGGGGCGCACTCACCTTGCGCACCTTCTGGAAGTAGAGCTCTGGCAGTGCATGCAGCCAGTAGGCCATCTGGCAAAGGTAGAAGAACTTCACCTGGAAGCTGCAGACAAGGGAGCAGGTGACACGGGTGGGGACGGGGCCCGTCAGGCTGGGGAGGGAAGGGCCCGGCCAGGGGCGCGAGAGGCTGGCAGCGTGCCGGCCAGTGGGGAGCGGAGTGGGCACACTCAGTGGCCTCCCAGCGCACAGGCCCCAAGAAAACGCGTGTGAGGGAAGCACGGGAGGAAGAGGATCACAAGCCACTAGCCAGTACACTGAGCTGACGGCTGTGCGGCGAGGAGCACCCAGCTCGCAACACGGCCTCTGCTACCGAGGCTCTGCCTAGAGGCGAAGGGGCCTCCGAGACCCAGGCCCAGGCCCAGACCCAGGCCCAGGCCCAGGCCCAGGCAGCACCAGAGGCAGGGGACCGCCGCCCCCCCCCCCCCCAGCCAGCCAGCATCAGCAACAGAAGACCACAGGGAGGATGTGCTCTGCCCTCAAGTGCGTCGCCAGACAGCTTTTTCTGAGTTGTCTGCTTTGCGTCTGTGTCTACCTCTGCAAGGAGCTCGTGCGGATGGCCTTTTCGTTTCGGGTTTCTCTGGTCCCAGACAGAAGCCTGACCGTCCCTCCAGGGCCTCACGGGCCCGGGGCATGATGGTCCTCAGGCCGGCTGGCCCGGGCACTCTGGACATATTCTGGGAGGAGAATCCCGTGGGGACTGAGTTGCCTGGTACTCACGAGAGGTGCACGTGCGGGTAGTCCTCCCAGAGGGTTCTCGGGTTGGTCAGGTATCCTTCCTGCGGTGGGGGAGAGGAGGGGGCATTTAGAGACACTCGGGTGCCACGCGCCGGGGACCCGGGACAGGTCCAGGAGGCGCCCGGCCCCCACCTGTTGGACAGAAGATCAGGACACGTTAAGAATAGATGCGCTTGATGAGGGGAATCACGCACTTGCGTAAGTATCATGATGCGGTGCACGGTGCCCGGCCCCGGGGCCTGAAGACTGTGACGGCGAGTCTTTATGACCCAGCTGCCCCACGGAGCGGGTTAAGCCACCTCCCTGAGCCCCCACTGGGGCCCCTGTAACACGGGGGGGGGTCAGAGTCCGTCCTTGAGCGAGGGACATGGGGACACGCGAGATGGCTACAGGGCAGCACCTGTCGTATGCAGGAGAGACGCTTACAGAACCCCAGCCCATGAGCAAAGTCCAAAGTCTGGGTTGGCTGTCACACTAGCGGACGGGCGGGAGCCACTGGCTGGATTCCAGCGCCCAGCAGCGCCACTGTCGCTGGCTCCGCCACACCAGGGTCCTGCTTGCCTGCTCTCTGCCTCGGGTGAGCGGGACTCAGCCCTGTGAGCAATGGAGGACGTAACCTGAGCCCGCCACCAGGCCTCTAGGGACTATTCCAATGCAAAGCTGAGCTCAAGGTAAGGAAGGGAAGCCCGGTCCCCAAGGGACAGGGGCCAAAATGGTGACATGGTGGCAGCCCAGAAAGCATCAATCTTGAGGCCAGGGGTGGAACCCAAGACCCTAGTATCAAATCAAGACCCTGGAGGAGATGCAATCTCAGAGGTGTGTGGAAAGATCTGCTGACCAACACAGGAAAGGAAAGAAGTCTGCTCAGCGAAGCCCAGCGTGCAAACAAACATGTCCTGTAAAAACTCACAGCACCAGCTTTTCCCTCAAAAGCATCTGGAGCTCAAGGAACACCTGTGTGGCCCAGTAACCACTGGTTACTAAGTCAGTATTAACAGTGATGTGAGCCAGTGTGCTCCCAGATACACTGGGGACATACCCCACGCCCCCCACCCCCCAAGGATAAAACCTGGAGATGTAGACCCGAGCTTACAATGCAAGATGAGGAGAAACATTAGCTCCAGCAGCGTCACCTGACACACGGTCCAACGAGAAGGTATCAGTTGAAGGAACAAAAAGTAAGGGGTGGATGGATGGATGATGAATGCTTTAGGAAAGTTCTTGTTTTCGTTTCCTCTCAGTGGTGGAGCTCAAACCTGGGCTTTGTGTGTGTTCAACTATCACCAAAGCACATTCCAGCCATGAGAATGCTCTACCCACTTCTCTTCCAAATAGAATAACGTGGGGCCCATATTTACCTCTTAGGGAAGTATGAGCAATGAAGTAATGGATAGGAGAGATTTCCTCAAGTGAGATGGTTTTCCAGTGGACAGCTGGAATGTGAGCTGAGCCACCAACCTCTTGGTCTTAGGACTTCAGGCAAGTTGTTTGAGAAAGTTGGAAAACCCACTGGGCCCCTGCACAGTTCACCCTGGCATTGAGAGCAGGCTTCATTGCTTCGGAGAATGGGCTCGGCTTGGTTTAGTGGGAGGCACTCTAGGCTACTGTCTCTTGGATCTGCAGCTGTATTTCCAACTGCTGACTGGCCCACGACCCTCAAGTTACTAAATGCCCTCTGACCTGTCAGCATGTGTTTGAGCCTGGCTCGGCACCCAGGAGCACGATACGGGGGCCAGGGCAGGCATGGGGGCTGTTAGATTGGAAGGAGGTCACGCTGTCGATCAGTAGAGCGGGTAGCGGTGGCAGTGAGCTCTAGACGCTCACATCGCTACCCTCTGTTCCCCCTCCCCTCCCGAGCGCTCGGATTATCAGCCCACGTGAGATCTCTGCTGCCAGACACAGGGACACCTGGTCTTCTGAAAGGCTGTCTCATTCCAAGGGACGCCCTTCCTACAGGAAGCAGCAATGTATTGGGCAGGAAAAATAGGACTTGTGGGACTGAGGAGGAAGAGGCCTTTCTGGCCTTCCCCCGCCCCCCCACCAAAATAAAAGGACTGACCAAGAGAAGCAGCACTCAACACGGTGCTGCCTGCATGGTCTTTACACAAGGCCCTCTTGGCGCGGCCTCTTCACTTAGGAGACAAAGAGGTCAGGGTTTTGGAACAGAGAGCCAAGAAGACTCCCAGAAAAATGCTGCCTGCTTGTGAATATCTGGTCCACAGGGACTGGAGGAGTGGGAGGAGGGAGGGGAACAGAGGAGCCAGAGGAAAAATGACTCACTGCTCTGAGAACAGCCTTTTCCAGCCCTCGGTCGGGGCAGCTGTCTGAGGGAGGGCGGGACTGGCGGCCTCCGAGCTCAGGCATGCCAAGGCACCTGAGTTCCAGGGCGAGCTCAGCACAGCCCGCACTGCAGCCCTTCAGTCCCCGCCACGGACAGGCTGCGGCAGATGGCCTGTGCAGGGGGTGGGGGGGGTGGGGGCTGGGGCTCTTGAAATCCTTTGCTCTCTGTGGAATCTCCAAATCGACCCAGGAGCTAAGCAAACTCTCCACCATGGCAGATCCCTCTGCTTCCCCAGCAATCTCCTCTTCTAGTGCATAAACAAAAGAACCACAAAACCCAGTGGAATCCAGAGGGAAAGCAGCAGCGGCTACCTGCCCCGGACAGCCCTGCATCATCTGCTCACCAGGAACAACCACACCTACAAACCACCCCAGAGCCACTGCCGTCCAGTGGACTTTAGGGTCTAAAACTCGAAGACCGACACCAAGAGGAAAGTCCAAAGGCCTGTCCACCCTCATCCTCCAGTCGAGGTCCTGTTGTTGGCCTTGTTTGTTTTTCCTTTCTTCCCAACATTGGATAATATATCAAAGACAGACTAAAAGTGAGAGGCTGGCGTGCTCAGACGCTCACTGGAGGTCTAGCTACACTCCCAGTGCTGCACCTGAATAGAGGCCAAGAAAATCATCTGCATCCAACACACAAAGGCAACTGGAATCCCCAACAGCTGAGACTTGGGGTACACTTTTTGCTTCCTTTTTTATAAAAAGCTGTTCTGTATTACTTCTTTAAATAATGATCATCTGTGATGCTTAGGGAAACCATCAATTCATTACTGAAAAAAAAAATCTGTGGAAAGCTAGAAAGAGAAGATGCATGTGTGGCTTGGGGGTCATCCTCCCCGCCAAGACTCAGGGGGGCTCAGAGCATGCCAGGCAGAGTGCAGAGGATCGGCAGCCCAGGGTCCGGAGGGAGGGTCAGAGAGAGCACACGTGAGCCGGAGAAGAGCAGTGCGGAGGGGAGGAGGGGAGCTGCTCTGAGGAGGGCAGGAGGGAGCCGGCCACGCAAAGCCCGGGAGGAGGAATGGCCGGGCAGCGGGAGGCAAAGGCAGGAACAGCAGGGCTGTGCCCTTTGCATGAGACCAGCACGGCCGCGGGGAGAATGTTTCCGCAGCTGTGAGGGGCCTGGCTTTAAGTGGAGAGGAGAGGGCAGGATGCAGTTTATGTTTAAACAGCCATCTGGCCGCGCAGATGATGGGCTGGGGTGGGGGAGCCGCATGCAAACTTGCCCGAGGGGGGAGGCGGGCGGCGTGAGCCCCCCTGGCGTGAGGGAATGGCTGCACGCCGGGAGGCACCAGCTCTGCCCACCTCTACCCACTAGGTGCCAGGAACGTGTTCTTTTTTTGTTTTCTTGCTAGTCCTGGGGCTTGAACTTAAGGCCAGGGTGCTGTCTCTGAGCTGCTTTGTGCTCAAGGCCAGTACTCTACCACTTGAGTTACAGCACCACTCTCAGGCTTTTTTGAATAGTTTATTGGAGATAAGAGTCTCATGGGGACTCAAACTGTGAGCCTCAAATTTCAGCTTCCTTTAGGCTTACAGGTGTGAGCCACCAGCACCCAGCGGCCAGAAGCGTGTTCTCAACGTCCCGAGAGGAGGCCGCGGGAGTGGGGGTGGCGAGGAGGTAACACGCTGGCAGGCAGAGCCGCCGGCCCTGCTGGTGAAGCGCGACAGTCCGAGAGAAGACACGCGTCTCACAGCATGACAGAAAACCATGAGCAAGAAACTGCTGGCTGTCTTCCTTCACAAAAACTAACTCCTGGGGCTGGGAAGGTGGCTCAGTGGTAGAGCGCTTGCCTTTGCATGCATGAGGCCCTGGGTTCGATTCCTCAGCACCACATAAGCAGAAAAAGCTGGAAGTGGCGCTGTGGCTCAAGTGGTAGAGCGCTAGCCTTGAGCTGAAGAGCTGAGGGACAGCGCCCAGGCCCAGAGTTCAGGCCCCACGACTGACTGGGAAAACAACAACAACTACTACTACTCCTGCAGAAAATGAACTATACGACTTGTGGGTGGGGAGGGAGGGAAAAACTGGGAGAAAGCAAAGGAAAGGATGGCATTGTCTGAAAAGAAACGTACTCATTACCTGACTTAGAAACGGTAGCCCTTTGTAAAGGTGCATCACCTTTACAATAACAACTTAAAAATTAATATAAAAAAAGGAAACTAACTCTCCCGCTCTTCACCATCTTCCTTCCTCACAGATGGATGGGTGGAGGAGGTGGGAGGGAGCAGGCGGTGTCATCAGGAGCTGGAGGCTCCGGCCTCGCTGAGGGGATCTGGGAGGAACGTTTGCAAGGGAAGCCTCCCCGCTCCCAGCCCAGGTTCCATCCTCACTTCTGAGCCCCTGAAGGGCTGGAAGGGGATCTGAGAAGGATCCACATGGCACCGCAGGGTGGGACGCAGGGGTGAGGGGGAAGGGGCGGAAGTGACTCAGAGATGAGGCAATGCTCCCCCAAAAGCCAAGCGCTGTGTCTGCCTCAGAGCAGCGCGGGGCTCCCGCGGGGCAGCGAGGGGCTCCCGAGGGGCCCCCGCGGGGCACAGCGCAACCTCAGCAAGCGGGGAAGGCCTGGGGGCAGAGGCGGAAATCCCGGTGTGCAGCACCAGGGCAGGGGACCCCAATCACGCCGTGGGTCTGTCCCCTACAAGCGAAACACCCCGGGGAGCAGCAAGTCTGCTCTGGCATGAAACGGTAGTGGAATAAAGGCAGTGTGCAGAAGCTACGTGGACTCCTGCTGAGGACTGTGCCCCACACTGGGCTCTGGGTTAAGCATCTCTGACGGGAGTGATACCACTCCATCCATCGTCAGCCTGGCAGCCACCAAGGGAGGGAAATCGCAAAGACGTCACAGGGCTACTGAACTTTCCAGGCCACAGGAGACCCAATTTTAAGATGGGAGGGGCTTCAGGTGAGGGTGGGTGTCACTAACAGAAAGGGTCTCCTTCCAATGACCTTGAAGGACCTCCTACATTTTTTTAGTCCAAGGAATGTGGCCCGTCAAAGGTGGTTTCAGATTAAGAGTCCTGCTGCAGAGCAGGAGGTCAGGAGGACTTCTGGTCCCAGAGGTGTGTGTGTGGGGGGGGGGGAGGACTCCTGGGGAGATCTTCTGTGCGGTAAAGAGGCTGGCCTCGTGTTTACTTTCTGCAAAACGGAAAGTGTGCTGGCCTTTGTTAGGACTTCATGTGAAATGTCCCGCGAGACTCCTGTGTTTGATGCAATCTTCAGAGATAAGAAATGTTCACTTCGGGGAAGTGAGCAGCTCACAGAGCTCTGACCTCATTCACAGATTAGTGCAAGGATGAGTTAGTTCATCATCTGATAGCATCCGGGAGGTGGTAGAAACTGGGACGTGGGGCCTAGCTCGAGGAAGGAGGTCACTGGGGGCTTGCCTGTCAGGGTGTCTTTGGTCTCTGGTCCTTTCCTGTCTGTTTCCCTCTGCTTCCTGCCTGTCATTCGGTGAGCAGCTGGGCTCTACCACAAGTTCTCAAGACATGTAGTTCTGACCTCACCGCAGGCCCAAAGCAAATAGCCAGCTGCCCAGGGATTGAGCCCTGTAAAACCGTGAACCAAAAGGAAGCCCTTCCTCCTCCACTCACAACAGCGCAGACCTGGCTAATGCACAGTGGGAGTCAGACCTCCAAATTCAAGCCACCTTTGCACTGGGCTGTGGACAAACTATGAAACAGAGCTTGAAACTCTTCTCATCCCCAGCACAGGTACCAGAATTAATGCCAAGTTTACCTGATGGGCCTGCATTTGCAAAGGGCCTGCAAACACAAAACACAGCACTCTATGCATGCACCCGGATCCTTACTATAGCGTCAGAGGACTCTGAAAGTGTTTACTTCCCATCGGATCACTCCCTCCAGCTAGTAAACATGGCACAGAATTTCAGTTCTAAGACACCTGACCCTTCCTCTTTTTCTTCCCTACCAGCAATTCACAGTCACGGTGTCGGTGATGTGAGGGACAGCTTGGAGGCTCAGGGAGAAGCCTGCCGCAGGCCTGAAGGCGACTCACCGTCAGCGCCACGTAGAAGCACCACAGCGCCGAGCTGACATGAAAGACAAGCAGCTGTCCGGACTCGTTGAACTTGCTGTGCTTGACCTTGGAGAGATGGAGCCGTCTGCTGATTTTCTAAGGAAGAAAAGAAAACCCCATCTATTTATTACCTGAGGTGTGAGGACATGCCTACTGGGCAGATCTCAGTCCCCCGTTTCCACCCCACGAAAATGCAGACACTGTCAAACGTTGGAGCCAGGCTTTCCTCCACGCCGTGTAGCGTAAGCCTACTGTGTGAACCTGCGGCTTAGCTCCAGACAGACACTTCACAAAACCCACAAGATTAAAGTCTTCACCTACATCTAAAGAACACGACCCCCTGGCCAACCTATGTCTAACAGACCCAAAAAGATGCTGGTCTGTCCTATTTCAGCAGCTTTCTACCCATGTGAGACTGCCGTCCCAAGTCCGCTCAGCAGGAGGTACACACTAGGCGGCATGCGACCCCGAGCTAGGCCCAGGGCTAGCTCACCTCCGAAGCCAGCCGTCACTTACATCTAAGATGTACTCCTGAACCACAGCGTGCAGGATGATGGCAATGAAGATGTAGAACAGGACGGTGACCAGGTCCTTCGGGCCGTAGTGGTACTGCACCGCCTCACTGTCTGCGGGGTCAGAGGCTTCCGTCAGCACTCCCAGAACCCACAGGAAAACGATGGGAAACAGGAGTTCTGATCTAATCAATGTTCCCCGTTTGCCAGAGCCCCAGACTTAGCAGACCGCCTGGGCCCTAGCATCCTATCCAAGCCCTGGACGTGGTCCTTGGATGTACCCACGGGGAGAGCTGTGGAGAACCAAGGGTGCCACCCTGGAGAGCACAGCGTAAGGGCCCTGAGCCAGTCTGTAATGTGTGGACTGAGGACAAGGGAACTGCCTCGATTATGCCTCCGTCTCCTCCTCCCTTACACCCGCACCTCACCCAGGAAGCCCGGCCGGCGCGCGAGTTCCCTGTGGACGCAGAACTCGCACTGCCTGAGGCTGCGTCACCACTCCGTACTTTACTTCTCATTACAACTGGGGGGGATCTCTGCGACCCCGCGCTCTGTGCCCCACTCTCCTCATTTGTAAAGCGATGCGAGCAGCCCCTGGGATACAGGGCTGCTGTGAGAGGCAGAGGAGTCACCGTGGTGAGGGTCAAGGTGAGAACAGTTGCGCGGCAGGCGCCGTGCGCCGCTGCGTGTGACTTTGCTATCCACTCTGCTGTGCCGCTTCACACGCCAGATGCTACTGCACTGCCTACCACTCAGAGGAAGCATCTGGAAATGGGGGACGTATCAAAAAATAGTAATAAATTAGGGGGAACCCTAGCTATCGAAGTTTCTTGAAACTCTACCACTATGGCCTCCTCTTCCTTGTGCAGTGGTGAGCTGGCCCCAGGCTGCACGAGCCAGGCGGCCGAGGTGAGGGAGTGGGGCCGCTGGAACTGGGGATGGGCGGGCGATGGAGCCGCATCCTAGGCCAGGCAGCATCGTCTGCCCAGGGCGCAGGGAAAAGGCTGCACACGGCAAGGAACAGCAGGGTGCCACCCGAGAGGGTGTGGCCTCTGCCCAGAGAGGGTGTGGCCTCTGCCCAGAGAGGGTGTGGCCTCTGCCCAGAGAGGGTGTGGCCTCTGCCCTGAGGGCAACTTGGACACGTGAAAGAAAATCCTAATGAAACAGGAAAATGATGCAACTTGTATTCTGGAAGGTTTATTTAGCAGCACACAGGGGCAGTCCTGGAGGTAAGGCATCTGCCTCAGAGCTGACCCTGTCACCCAGGTGAGGGACCACCCAGGACCTGCATTCAGGTAGGAAGAGACAGAGAGGAAAGGTGGAGGAGGCCTGCTCAGGAGGGAGGACAGAGGAGGCTTGGCGGCTGACTTACTGGTGGGAGCCAAGCACTGCAGACGGAGGAGAGACAGCCGTGAGGGAAAACACACAGGTACAACTCAGCCTCCAACCCCACTCACCGTCTGCAGGGCCAGAATCACACTTTCCCTGCCTTCTTCATAAGAGACTCACTAGAGGGCGGCACGTATTATTTTAATAGCTAAACACATGCAGTTTTATCCTCAAGGCCATTGTTATTAGGCAAAATGGGATGTTATACACAGCCAAGGAAGTATAGTCTAAACTGGTGAAACGGTACTTGTTAATACTTCACCTTAAACATGCTAATGCTTTCTGGGGGTTATCTGCCTTTATTTCCAATGCTACAGTTCCAAAGAGAAGACCATTGCTTCAAGTTCTTCTTGAAACAAGAATGACCATGTGGGGGCTAGGCACGGGGCTGAGTGGCAGAGAACTTGCCTGGCATGTGCGCGGCCCTGGGTTCAATGCCTAGCACACAGACAAAAAGACCAATGCATGGACAAGCACCCTCCTCAATTCCCTCACTGCTGGGCGCAGCATACTTGGCTGCTCACCGCGTGCCCTGCGCAGGCTCTGGGCTGGGGCTGGGAGGTAGCGCTGAGTGGTACACAGACCCTGCCATTTTGGAGCTGAGTGGGGCACACCAAATCCTCCTGTACTTAAAGAGCCACCACTGCCAACTCAACAGGAGAAACAACAACCTGATTTGTTAAAAACTGTGTCACAGACTTGAATAGACTTCCCCCCACCCTCACCCCTGGCCCTAAAGAGGTGATACAGCGGGCCAAGGAACGGCAGCTTACCATCTCTAATCATGAGGAAAATACAAAGACAAAAACTGTAGGCTCCCACCGGTGTGGGATCCTAGAATAAACTCATCGAGACAAGAGTGGAGGCAGCGGCCGAGGCAGGGAGACTGGGAGATTGAGGCGGCAGGGATGGGGGGAGGCGGCCAAGGGCGCCGTGCCCTGGGCACAGCCCTCCGCTGCAAGCCTGGAGGAGCAGGTCACACAGCGCACCCCTAACTGCTGGTCTTCCCAGCGGTCACTCCCTTAGCCGGCCTTTCACATCTCCACTTCAAGAGAAAAACAAGCGGAAGACGTGACCGCTTCTTGTTCAGCTCCGAGGAGAAATGCAGCAGCTTACACTGGGATCAGCAGGGAGCGCCTGGCTGTCTCAGCCCCAGGGACACACTCAGAGGAGTGGCGGCCGTGGAACCCTCCCGAGCGCGTGTCTGGGGGGCTGTGGGGGAGTGGGGGAGGAGTAAGGCCCACGGCGGGCCGATTCCTGGTATTTTGGAAGCAAATAGAGAAATCTTTACCAAAAAAAAAAAAAAAACAACACCATAGGATTTTTAAGTATTAGTGACTAATTCAAAATTGTTCAAAACACAGCATGAGCCAACACTACCCGGTCCAAAGAAAACACGCTGGCAGGCCAACCGTGACCAGAGCCACCAAACTGCAATGTCCGGAGTAGATGACCCAGACCCCTTTCCAACACCAAACCCTATGAGAGTCTTCTTCCTACACAACTGCTCAACACACTTGTGTTCACTGAGCATAGAATAACCTAGTCTGGAAGCAAGCACCCTCAATAATAACCCTCCCCTTCCACATCTATCAACAGTGATACTTCTCCGTCTGCCTGAGGTCAGTTTAAAAGAGACCTGGAATCACGAGCAAGAGCCTTGGCTCTTGACATTCTCCATGACCACGGCCTCTGGGGACAGGACCTCCTTGCTTTTGACGTCACCCGCCAGCAGCTCCTCCTGCCTGCCTGTCCACAGCCCTGTCCTGCCCAAACACGCTGTGCAGTCTTGGCCTCCGCTCCTGACCCTGCCGCTCACGCTCGCTGCTGTGCAGTCTGCTCCTCAGGACCCACTCGAGTCCTGGCATGACGCCCCTGTCATCCTTCAGTCCCCGCTCCGCCAGTTCTTTCCTAACCCGGACCTGCATTTGTGAAACGGACTTCCACAGGTTTCGGTGCTGACAGGGGTGTTTCTCTATTATTTCAAGTCTTTTCTACCATGTATCAATTCAAAACAAAGACACAAAAAATTGCTGGAACTGGCACTGTGGCTCAAGTGGAAGGGCGCTAGCCTTGAGCTGAAGAGCTGAGGGACAGCGCCCAGGCCCAGAGTTCAGGCCCCACGACCGACAAAAAAATAAATAAAAATTGCTGTAAACAAAACCAAGAGGTAAATGGGGCCAGGGCTGATGCTCTCCAGTGAAGAACCTGCTAGCAGAAGGGAGGCCCTGGCTTAGAGTCCCAGCCCTCCCCCCACCCTCCCCACCCTCCTCCCCGCCCTCCTCCCCACCCTCCTCCCCACCCTCCCCACCCACCCCTTCAAAAGAAAAACATTAAATGATTACAAATTAAATAAAAAACTTAAATCATCACCTGACAAAAAGATTCCCAATTCAGATTAGAGACAGTTAACTTGCTATTAAAAAAAAAAAAACTCCTCGAATACAAGGATAAAAAGAATAACAATCAGCAGAAAAATGGGGCAAACGGTATGAACAGACAAAATACAGAAAAAGGATACACGGATGGCTTTCACACATCGAAAAACATGCTTGGGCTTACACAGAACAGAAATGTAAATTAAGATGGCGCTGAAATACCATTTCCTAGCTATCATCTGGGCAAAACCTGAAAGGCTGGTGATTCCTGAGTCTTCATCCGCTCTTCATCCACTCATCCTTCATCTACTCTTCCACTCTTCATCCACTCATCCTTCTTCCTCTCTTCTTCCATACTTCTTCCACTCATCCTTCATCCACTCATCCTTCTTCCTCTCTTCTTCCACTCTTCATCCACTCATTCACTCTTCATCCACTCTTCACTCATTCTCTTCATCCATCCATCTACTCTTTGTCTTCATCCACTCTTCCACTCTTCATCCACTCTTTATCCACTCTTCATCCACTCATCCACTCTTCATCCATCCATCTATTCTTTGTCTTCATCCAGTCTTCATCCAGTCTTCATCCACTCTTCCACTTCTGGTTCGCTCTCCACCCCAAACCACCTACCCCCGGCATGGGGAATGGGGCTCTCACACATGCTGTCAGGGGACTGAAGATATACAGTACTGTGTCTTTGGAGCTGTTTGGCAATTTCTGTTGAGATTACAAACACATGGACCCTGCAATGCACAGTTCTGCTCTGGGAATTCATCTTGTAGCTAGTACTCACCACAGATGAAATAACCCATGAACAAGGCTTTGAAGGCTTTGTACTACAGCACTGTTTCTAGCACAAAAACAACGCTGTTATTTTAAACTACAGGAAACTAGTAAATGAACTATAAATGTACAGGTTGAACAACTCTATTCTGAAAATCCAAACTCTGAAAGGCTCAAAATCCAAAATATTTTAAGCAATATTTTAAGCAATATGAAACCACAAATGAGAAAATTCTATACCTGAGCTCATGTGACAGGCTGCAGTTCAAACACAAGCATGGGCCAGGCACTGCTGGCTCACGCCTGTAATCCTAGCTACTCAGGAGGCTGAGATCTGAGGATTGCGGTTCAAAGCCAGCCTGGGCAGGAAAGTCTGTGAGACTCTTATCTCCAATTAGCCAGCAAAAAAAACTGAAGTGAAGCTGTGGCTCAAGTGATAGAGCACCAGCCTTGAGCAAAAAAGCTCAAGCCTAGATCCTGAGTTTAAGCCCCAGTATCAGCACACACACACACAAAGCATAATGAAAAATTCTCTTCAAGCTATGTATATAACACATTATCAAAATACAAATGGCAGCCGGGCACTGATGGCTCATACCAGTAATCCTAACTACTCAGGAGGCTGACATCTGAGAATCACAATTCAAAGCCAGCCCAGGTAAGAAAATCTGTGAGACTCTTATTTCCAACTACCCAAAAAACTGCAAGTAGAGCTGTGGCTCAAGTTGTAGAGCACTAGTCTTGAGCAAAAGAGCTCAGGGACAGTGCTCAAGCCCTAAGTTCAAGCCCAAGGACTGGCACAAGCATACACACGCACGTGCACATGCATGCGCGCGCGCACACGCACACACACACACACACACACACACACACACACACACACAGAGGCAATTCTAAGCCACCATTTACTGGCCATGCCATATATGGAGCACGGATGCTGAGCAACTTCATTAGTCTTCCCTGTAATCCTGCGTATTACCCCTGTTTACTGACATGGCAGCTGGGGCTCAGACAAGCAGGAGCTGTGCCCACAGGGAAGGGCCAGGCCTGTGGATGCCAGGCCCAGGACTCTTCATCAGGCTACTCCGCTCCCTTCAAATCACACAGCCCAGGCGCTGTGGAACACCCCGCTTCCCAGAGCGGCAGAGAGGGGAAGGGCCAGGACTGGCCCCATCTTAACTCGCTTCCAGCTAAAACAGACACAGGTCCAGGTGGGGTAGCTTTCATCTACAATCACGGTTGCTTCGTTCTCCAGAGCCACGGTGGTCCCTCATCTTACAAAGAGGGGCTCAGTTGTTGCGTGACAACAATCTTTCAGGATGGCGTAAGCAGGAGACAGCAGTCATTCCTGCCTGCAGAGGAGGCCCAGACAAAGGCCTCAGATGAATGAGGCTGGCTTTACTGCCAGGGCATCTTATCCTAGAAGAGGCCAGGAGAACAACAGCCAAGCTACGGTGAAGGACGTTCTCCAGCTTTCTACCTCTGACTGAAAAAACACCACAGAGCAGATGCAGTGATAAAGCGTCTGAGATCAGCGCAGCCGGGAGCCGAACTCTGTCCGCTCAGACCCCTGCAGAACAAAACCTTCCTCTGGAGAGAGCTCTGCCCGCCTCAGCCTGTTTAAAGTTCTGGGGTGCAGCTACAGCACGGAGCCATCAGTCTCCACTCCTCCCCAGGCTGGTTATAAACGTGCCCCAGATTCTCAGGGTGCTGTGGCCCCAGCTGGATACTGAATTTACCCACCGATACTCCCTACGTCCCCACCAAATAACTCTAGAAAAACAAAACAAAACTGGAACTGGATAGAAACATACAAATGAGTTACTGAGGATAGTAGGTTTCCTGAGCTTACTTCTGAGCTTCTTAGAAACAGGATTATTTGAAACCCCAAATGGGCCTTTTGGCCCCGGGAACTGACAGGTGTTCTCTGAGGTGGAGGTTTCGGTGCGCTGGGGACGGGCCCCCGGCATATTTCTCATAAGGTCTAGTCCTGCCAATGGTCCTGGTCTGAGTCACGGGCCGTTCAGAGAACTCCTCCAGGCAACTGTCCTTAGAAACCGTGGAGGTGGAGACCACCACTGCCCATTGTGTAGAGGAGGGAAGGGCCCAGGGTGCTCGTGGTTTGCCTGAGATAATTCAGCGTATTAGAAGTCCAACCCAAACAACCCTGTGCATACGTGCTTGGTCCCTGGGGCTCACCTGTTCCACACCAGAATAAGGCCTGAGTGTGCCTCTGGGTCTCTATACAGTGCCTCTGTGGTCCCTATGTATTTCTGATCATAGCACCATTTGAATCAGAAAGAAGACTCCACGGGTCTAATGGTAAGATCAGAAAACAGACATTTCAGTCTTTGCCAGAGCTGGCAGGGTGGATGGTTACCAGATAAAGCCCAATAGGTTAACATTTGAATTTCAGATAAACAATGAGTAATTTGTTAGAATTATGTCCTGTGCATATCTTGAGATATACTTATGCTACAAAAGACAACAACAACAACAAAAGCAATTCTGGCAATCCCATTGGAGAGCAAGTAGAAACAAGGTTTGGTGAAAAGAGGCACCTTGTGCTTTATCCTATCACTGCTGACCTTAAAGCCAGCAAAGACAGCACTGCATGAGCACCACTGCCAGGTTCAAGCCTCTGCTTGGAGCTTCGTTTTGCAGACTGCAATGCAGCAAGATGGTTCATTTACAGCTGGAGGTGCCGAGGTTGAAGTCGTAACTCCCAATACCCTAAGAGGCGACCATTCAGAAATGGTATTCACAGACGTAGTTAGTGAAGATGAGAAAGACCACAGGAGAGCTGGGGAAGGTGGACCCAGACTGAACCCTCACGCAGAGCGCGCCATGGAAGGCTGATGTGTGTGCTGCCACCAAAGCCAGCGCGAGGCCGGAAGCCTTTCACAAGCAGCACAGCCTGTAGCACTGCCAGCCTCCAAATGGCCAGACATTACTTTTCTGTCATGTAAGCCACTCAGCCGGAGGTACTTACGCCGCAGCAGCCCAAGTGCGGGCACTGCGGGGCAGAGGGCAGAGGGCAGAGAGCAGGGTCAAAGGGATTTACAGCAAACACAGCCCTCACACGCAAGCCTGGCCACTATCTTCCCTCGACCTGAAAACCTCAGCGGAGCAGGCCACAGAACGCTTTGTGTGGAGACAGTCGCTACTCGACCAAAATTCAATTTTAAACACTGAATTAAGTAAGTTATATACTCTATAAAGAAGAAAGCTCAGAAGTCAGAATTTATTTATCCTGGTTATACAACAACAACGATACACTTCTAAGCCCTCCTGGCCCTAAAGAGATTGTGGGGGAGAGCTTTAACAGACGGTTTTTGTAAAGTGTTTTCTTTTCCCCATGAGAAGTTTACTTTCCTCCAGTTCCTACAAATCAAATATTACCACACTGGGTTGATGATTAAGGAGCTGAGTACAAACTAAGCAGCTCCTCTAATTCGTTGTCTCTCTCCATTATTTGCTTGTCATATTGCCAGCATCCCCAAATGGCAAGATTTAAACAACACAGAGACTGTTTAACAATACTTTATCTTTCCTTTCTAAAGTAACGGAACCCTTCTCCCACCAGGCATGGACTCTATCGCAGCCTTACCCAGGCCGGGAGGCGTCTCCGAGAGCAGAATCCACCAGTCCCACCCTGGAAAACTCCAGCCGGAGGCCCTACTAGCTCGACACCCTGGTGGTCTTTAGTGAACAGCACAGCTGCCCCAACCAGGGAGGCCACTGGACACTGAGCTTAAACACCCAAAGGTTGCCAAGGAGAGTTTGCCGGTCCTTCAGGGCTCGCAGGACGGGGAGGCAGCTCGGCCTTTCTTACCTGCTGCAGGCACACTAACATTATACTGAGGTAAAATAAATAGGAAGGCAGTCTTGGCTGTGACCTGGAAAACAAAGGGGAAAGTTCTAGTTTACTTTTTTTGCCACATCAGATAAACAAAGAAACAAAACAACAACAGAGTCTGCTTCAGCCCCACTCCGAGTACAAAAAACAAAGACAACAAAACAAAATACAACTTTAGGCCCCAGATGGTATCTAGATTTGTATGCCCTGCAAATAATCTAGGCTTGGCAAACTGACAAGCAAGCAAAGGGAATGGAATGGATCTACCCATCATGCATTCATTCATTCACTCATTCAAGTGGCGATTTGGTTCTAGCACCCAGCACTGAGGAAAATGGGGTCACAGTCTTCAAGGGGTGAGGATCCAGGCTGAGGTCCCCCCAGTACTTCAGGTGCCTGCAGTGTGGACGCAGCCCCAGTGTACACCTGGAGCTTCCGAAACAGAGAACTCCAGCTGCAAATTTCATATCTGTCCTTTGTGGGGAGGGAGAACTGCACCTCGCAGGACTGTTTATTTTGAAAGCTGCCTTTTTTAGTCTCATTGTGAAAAGGAAAACTTGGGGCTGTTACCTGGTGATCAACAGACAAATCACTAGTGACACAGCAGCCCAGAAGAGAGGGATGGAAAAAAAAATGGAGATTTGAAGTTTAGACTCAGAATCATCAACTGCTTAGGTTTTCAAATACTAGTTCTGCTAGCCACACAGCCGTGCGCAAGTGATTCACAGCGTGAGTATAAAATCGGGGGTATCTATCTGCAGCACCGCAGCTGGCACTGATCCCACGTCAGAGCTGTTTACAGAATCCCAGATGTGGGGGGGGGCAGGGGGGGCCTAAGCCATGCCCACACTGCCCTGGGCAGAGCATGAAGGCTGGATAAGGAGGAAGTACTCCCCCAGGGGGCCTCTGAGACACCCCACCAATGAGAGCTTCCTTGTCCTCCAAACGTGGAGGTCAAAAGGAGGCATGTGGGGAGGAGGGGCAAAGCAGCCTGGGGAAGCGGATGCTGCACGAGCGCCCCTCCCCCTCTGGACAGAGCCCGGGGAGTGACTTCCCTCAGCCTCCCCTGCCAAGAGAAAGAGCCTCTCCAGTCAGCAAGACCTGACACTCCTGCAAGCGGGGGTCATGAGGAAGCTTCCACGTATTTGTGCTAATGCTTGGAACATGTCCAATCAAGCTCAAGGGGAAAACCCCAAATGACATCAGGCGGGAGGAGATGGAGGAAACACACAGGTCTTTCCCCCTTCCCACCCCAAGTCCTCCTAACTTGATCTCTTAAGACCTTGTCCAGCATTCTCAACCTCTCCTCCAGCCCAGCTTCTCGTACTGTACTTTCCCCTGTTCTTGAGAATAGATGTGCATGGTTTGCACCAAAAGCCTCCATTCCCTTCCTTCCCCTCTCTTTTTGGAGCCCCCTCCTACAGCCCAACCTGGAATGTGTCTATCAGAATCCCCTTCCTTTACATGCCAGTCCAGCAGGGACCCCTCCCTCACTGGACGTAGGCCACCCGTCCTCTGCCACACAGCGGCTCACTGCTCATCAGCTCCCAGTCCTCGAAGGCAGGGCCATCCGTTCACCCTCCTATGCCCTCCTGTAGGTGCTCGGTAACCACTCACTGAGTCAGATGAAAAACCAAAGGCCAGGTCTGCTCCGCTCAGCTGTCCCAGTCCCTAGTGGGCAGGCCCTGGGTGCCAGCACTGGCGCTCCAGCCCTGCCCAGCTCCGCTGAATTTAGCTCAGCCAGAGTCCCTGCAGGCCACAGAAGCGCAATGGCTGCCCTCCGATTCTCTCCAGCGACTAACCCTGACCCATTCTTAACACTTGTTCAGCTTTGTCTTCACACACTGAACTCCCGGAGGAAAGACCAGGAGAGCTAAAAGAAATGGGGAGCAGGAAGGAGAGAGATGTGCGGTATCAAGCAGAGGCGGACAGAAAGCATCTACTGTACCCCACTATGTCTCCCCTCCTTGGTGTCATTCAGGAAATCCACGTGTCTTTTTTTTGAGACGGGGCTCTCTATGTGGCCCAAGCTGACCTCAGAGTCGGAATCCCCACCTGAGCCTTCTCACACTAGGATTCCAGGCATGTGGCACCAGGCCTGGTTTTACGCCTGTCTTCCGGGGGGCAGAGGTGGCTCTGCAGGGTTTGGCTATCTGACAGCTACTCTCCTCTTCCAAGGAGCTCTGGGGTTCCTGTGGGAAATGCCTTTCCCCACGTGCATGTGCACACAGGCAGGACGTTATGGGGTCAGTTTTGATGACAAGAAGAAGAGTTCCTCTTCCTATGCACTGGCTACCCTACCCTAGGTGCGGGGCTTCCTCAGTAAGGTCGAAACGATGCTCATCCATGCCTCAAACCTGCAGGGGAGATGGGGTCTGTGCTGTGGTTTCTGTCTGGCCCTGGAGTGCAGGGGTCATCAGCTGTGTGTGCCGGCAGAGAGCTGGCTAGGAACCATTGCCAAGAAACACTGTAAATTAATGCACAAAGAACCAGTGGTCAAGCTGGCTGCAACTAGAATCCCTGGAGAATCTTCGAAGCACACAAATGGAGGGCAGGGGGCGAACAAATACAGCAATGGCACTCACCGGACACTATGTTGAAAATGAACTATGCAACTGGCAGGTGGTGATGGGAGGGAAAAACTGGGAGACAGTGAGGGAAGGGGTGACATTGTCCCCAAAGAACCGCACTCTTTACCTGACTGCCCTCTGTGCATCAACTTCATAACAACAATAAAACGTTTTTTAGCATCTCTATGCCCAAGCCACGCTCCAGCCAAGGAAGCCACAGCCTCGGGCGAGCGGCATCTTGTGCCGCTCTCGGCGCACCGCCACGTGCAGCTGCATCTGGGAACCACACAACGCGCTTTCCCCAGGAAGACAGGCACAGGGTGCGTGGGCTCCACAGAGACGCATTACTGCAGTCCTGCATACACAGTCAATTCTCGTTACTCAGGGGAGAGAACGCTGGAACGCTGCACCAAGGAGACACGCAGGGCCACTCCTCACGTTTCACCAACACATCAAGAACGCCCTTGTTTTGTGTGTCCTTCCATGAGATACCTTGCATGACGCTGAGTCCTCACACTGGACTCACAGCCAACAACACTGGAGCGCAAGCCTCACCCAGGTACTTCCTCCCGGAGTCTCACCACTGGCTTTCTTGTTCTCAGGAGCCCTAGCTAGCACTTGAGTACTTCGGGGGGGGGGGTCCCTTAACACAGTGAAATCCCAATGAAACTGCAACCATTGTGGCTCTAGAATGGACTGCAGAAAGAAGGTTTGTTTTTGGTAGGAGACACAAAGGCAGCACGCAGCCTTGCGCCGCCCGAGCATGCGTGAGGGCTGACCAGAGGTCTTCGTCGCTCTGTGCACAGCTTGAATGACACCAGAAGCCAAGTATTGATCTGGGGTGCAAACAAATTTTAGCAAGTAAGCAAAGTCCCCCAAAACAAATCCATAGAGGGAGAGGACTGACTGTATTAGGGCAAATCTGAATGTGTGTTCCATGCCAGCCAGGACTTAAAAACAAAACAAAACTTTATTAAACTCTCTCCTTTTAAGTATGCAGCTCCAGGAAAGGAACTTATCTTCATGTGTAGACTACCTCTTCCTTTGTGGAAGCGAGGCTCCAGGGAAGTGGGGACACTTCTGCCTTGATCATCAATGCACAGCCTCAGAGATGTGAAGGACAGAGCTGGCTCAGTAACAAATGCTTGTCATGTGACATGGACAGAGCAATCACGCAGGAGAGCCAGAGTTGTGTTCAGTCATCTGATCTGGGGCCTGTCACCTGCCCGCACCCGTACTTTGTGTAACTGTTTTCTCGTGTTGGGCAAATGGTAGATGTCTCGTAAGTACCCATTTGATGAACTCACTACAGACAGCTGTAGAATTTCATAACCAAGTATGAATGCTTAACACATGTTTTCTGAGTACAACTCCAGGATCTAGGATCCTGAATTAAGGCAAAAATACTACATTCCAGTATTTTTCCACCCAATACCAACTCTAACCACGCATCTTTTTTTTAAATGTTTGCTCACTTTCCCTGTTTCCTAGATGAAGAAGTTAAACTTGAGGCACCGAAAGGGACAAGACCTCACAACTCCCAGGCAAAAAAGCCAGCAATCAACTTAATTTCCTACAGAGACAAGGAAATGGGGGGAGGGGGTGCAAGGAAAACCCAGTAGCCAAAGAGGGATCCTTCTCATCCATGGTAAAATCCACTGTGTGCTTTGTTTCAAAACCTTTTGGGCACCCCATGTTCATTCCATAATCCTTTCCTGACCTCAGGCCAGGGACCAAACAACTACTCAGGTCCTCTCTGCGAGTGTCGGTTAAGGGGGTATAGCAGAGAGGCCTGAGAACCAGGAACGTATTAAAAATGTCATTCCAATTAGTTTTCATCCCTGTAAGGCTGTTTATAGGAAACATTATTGAGTTTTCGGCATTTTAAATGCCAAGCCCAGTGGGTGAAAGGTTAGAAATGATCACGTGCTAATGCAAAGAGAGAACATGGGAACACTGTATGACTCAAAAGGGTCCCCTCTCTCTCTCTCTCTCTCACACACACACACACACTCACACTCTTACACAGAACTTCATTAAGAATGCGAGTGAAACTGCTGCTGCAGCTGAGTAAACTGGACAGGGCAGCCACGTGCTGTGGACAGCTGGGAGAGCCGAGCAAGGTATTCACCTCCGGACCAGTTCCTCACCCACCGACAAGGCCAGCTAAGATAATCAAGTGCTTGCTCAGTAATTCACCACAGGTAATCACCTCTGGCAGCCTCTGAAGTTCGTGCTAATGATGTCCCCTGTTCTACAGATAACATGGAAAGAATGGGGTGTGGGGCAGTGGCCATCGCTTCCTGATTGCACTTCATCTTCAC